CCACCACGGATTATCCCCACACCAGCGTGCGCAGACCCAGTTCACCTCCGCTTTAGGCCTGACAGGTTCAACAGAGGTTCCTAGACCTGGGAAAGGTGCTGGGGAACTTGCTCCTGAATCCAGATTTCCTGCATCGTGCTGCGTTGTTCTACCTTCCGTATCATTCCTCTATTCAAAGGCAAAGGTTTGGAACAGAGACAAGATTTTGAGCTTTCAATACCAACCAGTCTCTGTGTCAGGCCGTACGACAGAAAAACAGACCCCGAGGGTTTTGGATTCCTGTGCGTACGCCAGCGAACACCAGGAAGGCTCTTAAGGCGGATTCCTTCTGCACCCTACTCCCCCTGCCTTGTTAATGCATAACCCATACCCCAGAGAGGAGCTCTGCAGAGCATAAACGAGAAGAGCAGCGAGGATACAGCCACCAAAATTAGCAAAGAGCACCCATAACGCTGAAGAGCTACCGTTCCCAAGCGCGGCTTGTTATTAAATTTGAAGAAACTTACCTTTCCTCCACCGGGCTGATGTTTAATATTATCTGTCGATCCAATTTTGGAACGTACGTTTTTCAGATCCGGAGCAGAAACGCTGCTGGTCGGGCGAGGGGGCTTGGAAACGGTGCTGGGTTTAGTCGGAGCCTTGGCGGTCGGTTTTTTAGCATCTGCCGCTGCGGTTGAGGTCGCGGCGGGTTTGGTTGCAGCAGGCTTGGCCTTGGGACGACCGGCAGCCACGGCGGGTAGGGTCGGTGCGCTGGGAGTGCTGGTAGGAGTGGTGGCACTGCTTTTTACTGCGTTTCCAGTAGCGCTCTTGGGGCGGCTCACATCTGCTACAGTTATCGCAGCGGTAGTTGGAGGGAAAGGGGGGAAAAAGATGGGTCAGAGACCACTGACACCAATGTCCCCAGTGCCCAAAAGAGGTACGGTGGGCTGATTCATAAACACGGCCCCGAACAAGGAGGGTTTAGGTGGAAACTGCACAACGTTACCTGATGGTGACTTCGCAGGGGTCTTCTTGGTGTCTGCAGGCTTTGCATCAGTCTTGATAGCTGCCCAACACAAAACACAGCGGTAAGTATTTCGGAGCGGGACACGGTTTGTGCAGACAAGAAGCCTGGGATCCCGGCAGAGCTCCCCCGGTGTCAGGGGCTCTCTGCAGCTCCGCGCGTACCAACGCTCCTGTCGTGGTTTAACTCCGGC